ATGATTACTTGAAATAAACCCTACAGTCCCTTTAATGTTCTTTAAGTAGATGATTACTTGAAATAAACCCTACAGTCCCTTTAATGTTCTTTAAGTAGATGATTACTTGAAATAAACCCTACAGTCCCTTTAATGTTCTTTAAGGAGATGATTACTTGAAATAGACCCTACAGTCCCTTTAATGTTCTTTAAGTAGATGATAACTTGAAATAAACCCTACAGTCCCTTTAATGTTCTTTAAGAACATGATTACTTGAAATAAACCCTGCAGTCCCTTTAATGTTCTTTAAGTAGATGACTACTTGAAATAAACCCTACAGTCCCTTTAATGTTCTTTAAGTAGATGATTACTTGAAATAGACCCTACAGTCCCTTTAATGTTCTTTAAGGAGATGATTACTTGAAATAGACCCTACAGTCCCTTTAATGCTCTTTAAGTAGATGATAACTTGAAATAAACCCTACAGTTCCTTTAATGTTCTTTAAGTAGATGATTGCTTGAAATAGACCATACAGTCCCTTTAATGTTGACGAACCTGTCTCAAAATTGAGCAAAAACTGAGGTTTGAATAACGGGTCTCTTAGATTGGTTTCACAAATTATTGGTTTTGAAAATTGGAGCAATTTTGTGAGATTATGCATGCTTCAGGGTTCACTGCATGGAGACAATTCAAACAAAGGAAATTAAAATATCAGGAATTATCTTCGGAGTAATTTTACCAAATTTTAGCACAACAGATTCAGAATAGGGTAATCAAGGAAGCTAAAAACATTCAGAAATTATCTAATCTTTTTGATGCTTTTTCCATGAATAGATCTTTATTTGGGTTCGCTGGTATCCCTAGTATCCCTGGTATCACTAATATCCCTGGTATCTCTGGTATCCCTGGTATTCCTGATATCCCTGGTATTAGTGGTATCCCTGATATCCCTGGTATCCCTGTTATCCCTGGTATCCCTGATATCCCTGTTATCCCTGATATCACTAATATCTATGGTATCCCTGGTATCACTAATATCCCTGGTATCCCTGGTATCCCTGGTATCACTGATATCCCTGGTATCACTAATATCCCTGGTATCCCTGGTATCACTAATATCCCTGGTATCCCTGGTATCAATAATATCCCTGGTATCACTAATATCCCTGATATTCCTGGTATCACTTTTAAGTAGATGAT